ATGTGCGCAATCACGTCGTCCTATGGTCCGGAGATTCGATCGCGCAACGTGTGCTGAAAGCTGTTCTTCTAACAAGAAATATATTGCGAACCGAAGCAGTGGCAATTTCAGCGCTACTACAAGCAGGATAAAGCACTTCATCTAGCTTGAATCTAAGTTCAAATAAAACGCATAGGAAGTGTTTTTATACAAGACAAACTAAATTGGGTAATGGTGCAAACTAGAACTGCGAGTCACACTGGTTGAGACCTTACATGCACTTACTGCTCGCAACTCGGGCAGCGCTTGGCTAGTTTTTCTGTTGATTTGATGTTAAAACCCAAAGTGAAAAGTTAATATGTAATTAAATTTTTCTTGTTCTAGCATTGTCATTTCTATTTGCAATAATAACAATCTGGTGTCCTATCTTTGACGCAGTTCAGGTGCTCTTAACATTGCCGCAAGGTTTGACGTTGTAGTTTATTAACTTTTTAGTCACGTGACCGTGCATTGTTTAACTAGAAACGCACTAGGGAAGGCTTCCAAAACTGTTGGCTCAAACAACGCAACTAAGCATTTAAGTTGAATAACGCACCACACAATGGGTAATTTACCCTGAATTGAATTGTCAAACGATCAGTAGGGTTATAAACACGCCTTTTCTCTAAGGCCAGATTTTTTACACTATAATTGTACAGGAAAGAACAATTTTGATGGCCCAACTTTCCACAAGGATCCACTGGATAATTGCATATACAATCCGCATGCCTCCTGCGCTGCTGTACCGCTACCATCATAAGTTCTTTTTGCTAGAAAAATTCTGCTCCATGCATCATTAGCAAGCATGGTGAGTCATTTTCACGAATAATACGATACAGTCAAATTTGTTAGTCTTATAAAACAATCCCAGAATCATAGTATTTAGGAACGCACTTTAGCATCGAGTATCTAGTTGCTCCTTATCTCATCATTGATAATATCAGCATAATAGATTACATCATAGTTTGGTTGAAACCTGATGCGGTGACAGCGATAGCTAGTTATACTTATTACACAATAATACCACGAAACTATTCGATCATAATTTTATACTGAGAAAGAGTTGCTATACAATCTGTGCTTTAAATGTTCACGCGCCCGAGAATGACAAATTTTTAAATCAAACAGTCCAGAGTTGCTTAGTAGTACAAGTTTTGGAAGACGGGTCTCAATTTGTATCATCAGTAGGTGTTTTTCAGTCTGTTGACATTTAAATGATGCTAAGATGGGCCGTTTTTAATAGTTAGACATGTGCTAATGTGCTTATGTTGAGAAATTGCCGTACGTTTCATGAAGTGGTTGCATGGAAAGGTCTTTTTGAGGAATCGCATAGCTTTGTTACTGCAGCATGAAACGCTTTCAGATCGATCGAAATATCATGACGCTGTTGCAACCTTGCGAGCAGAATAGAATTGTTTTGCCTCAACGAGATCGTATGCGCTACCTTTTGGTATTCCTTAAGACGTCTGATTGCAGCAGCTCCTACCGACTTGTAAGCTGTTTTCAATCAATTGGCTTTATAAAATAGGGACTTCGCGAGCTCTGAAATTATGGCACACTCTCGCTAAGTAAGACTTCATTGTAACCCAGTCTGCAGACACATCCTCACAAATCCGGTCAGTGACCGGCAAACATGCCTTTCTGTCTTGCATCATACTGTTTCCCTGGTGAGGCTAAAGTGTCGACGTCGATGCAGCAGATTTGGTAAGACGTTTACGTCTGCTTTTTTGCTCGCCCGAGAATCCCACCACACCGTTATTATGCCATTGCGCCAGTACTTGAGAAGCTGCATTTGCTTGCTTTGTCTGCCGCTGCGGGTAGGTTTGCTCCAATTCTTTGGCAAGACATTGATCGTAACGAATACGAACTCGATGAGCCCGAGTTGGGCCCACTGAATAAATTTTCTGGCCAGTTGCGACGCCCTGCGGCAATATGCGACCTTCACTAGCTGCGATCCATTCCACGGTGTCCTCAGACCACAATGAAAGTCGAAGTAGCAGAAACTTCGCAAACTTCTGTTTTTCTTCCAGATAAATTTCCACGACTTCGCCGTAATTCCAGCAAGCGTTTCGGTCAAGAACATCCACAACGTCACCCACTCTTAGTCTTGATGCAAACTCTACCGAAGCAGCCACAGCCAACGAGCAGTTATCTCCAATATCACGGCGTACACTATAAGCAATCAAATCATGCAGAGAGCTGCAACTCTGTAGTGTTCGCAGTGGTCGAGCAGGGCCGATGAAAGAATCAGGACCAACGCCAGATAGAGTATTTGCATTAAAGTCGGCGGATGAAGACAACCGTAAGAGCATATTTTCTAGCTCTCGTGCAGCAGCAGCTTCACTTTCTAGAATTGGTGCACATTGGATACTGCATGCTGCTCTTTCATACACACGCTGCGCTATTTGCCAGTTTTGAATTGACAACGGTATAAGCTTTGTGATAGAGGCAGTCAACACTTCCAAAATTTCATCCTTCTCCACTATGTTCCCGAAAGATGGAAGATTGCCAGTAACTTCGCTGTTCAAAACACCACAACGCCAATCATGCGTGGAGTCTCCGGTACCCTCATTATCCTTGCTGATCAAGTCAGCTGACTGATTCGCTTGGTGAACCTGAAATTCGTGTTGCAGTTGGAGGTGCCGTTTCATCTCTTCTTTCCTGCGCGTCGAGACATGTTCACGGTTAAGCGATGCAGGGTGGACCACTTTAAAATCAGGCATTTGATTCTTCCGGAGTTTCCAAAGTCCTAGTGATGCTGGATGAAACTGACAGAGAGGATAACTAGGTAGGATGCTCTCGTCAACATTAAATTTGTTTGCACTTCTGTCCGAACTATATTCATTACCCGATTCTTCATTTTGTTTCGACAACTGAAAGAGATTCACACAACCCTCGAGGCGAAGCCTAAAATCTTCGAATAAGTCGTCGTCGTAGCCATAAACTAAATCGCGATGGGATCCAAGCGATAAGCTTGATGGATATATGGATCCTTTACGATTCGATTTCACTGCAATCTCTTGGCCTTTATCAGAAGGTCCTTCCTCCATAAAATCACGCCTTTTTTGAGCGAAAAAATCTTCTTCTTCCCATGCATCACGGTAGTGGCGCCCTCGTCGAACTATAATATCCACATTTTCCTTAGGCCTCTTTGAAGCATCTGCAAGTATCAAATCTGATACTGCACGCTTACTCTCTATTTCTGACATGCCGCACCATGCACTTGAGTATTCTGCAAGATAGTCCGCGTTTTCTTTACGCCACCGAACCAAGTTATCCAATTCAGACTGCATAAGAGGGTCGAAGTATGCGTCGGCATCCCGCCATTGCCATGATTCGCCTTTAAAAGTCGACGGGTATAGATGCGAAGCATCAGTATCTGGGTATGCTGTTGTTGATGCTGAGGCACTTCTGTCAGAGTCAACTTCGACTCCATAAAAGTTAGTATAGCCGTTCGCTTCAATGCTAATCTTCTCAGATGCAAATAAAGTAGAAACACTGGTCTCCTCGTGCTTGGATTTAGTCGCCAATTTATTTCTTGGAGCTGAGTAACTCAATCTCTTTCTACGTTTCCGCTTTCCCATACTACGAGGTGCTATACTTGCTGGTCCTTCAGCTGTCACTGGCACTAATACTGCAGCTACATTTGACGAGGTCCTTCCAGATTCCAGCGCTGCAGTTGATGAAGAAGGAGAAGGTGCTAAGGTCTTGAGCGCATCAAAATTATTTCTGCGAAAAGAAAAACTCGGTCGTTTTTCCTCGACACTTTCGTCACTCGAGAAGGGACAAAGCTCAATTGGCACTTCATCCTTTGGAAATGCAATTTCAATACTGGGTGAACATAATGATGGAGGGGGCGCTATTGCCCAAGCACGTTTCGCTTTTTCGTTCCTCGTTACTTTCTGCCTCTCAATACCAGTGACCTGAACTTCCTCACTTAAAGTCAATTTCTTCTTTTGAGTTTGGAGCCGAAGTCTTTTGGTCAATGTTTCAGTAAATTCAGGGACTATCTCTTCTGTAAATTCTTTCTCGTTTTCCACGCGCTCTTTTCTCAATGTACTTTCTACTTTTTTTTCACTCTCTTGTGTCGGCTCGTAAGAAACCCCGTCCTCGCCCAAAGTAGGTTCTGCTTCGCCGCCTTGCGCACGATATCGCTTTCTGCTATGAATGGCTCTGTTGCTTGCATCCATCTCGTCAGAGTGATCGTCTTCCACAGCCTGTTTCAAATTCTGAGTATCTTGAGTCTCAACGATTGCAGCATCCACCTCCACGGCGGCAAAAATAGCGTTTTTCTGGCTAAGCGTACTGCCCATAACCGGCGATACAATCGATCACAGCTTTCAAAGTATTTTCTTCGACAGGCTGAGCTGTAGTCCGCCCAGTTCACCAAGCTGGCGCGGTTGGTCTCGATGATCGCGGTTGGGTTTCTTATAATCAAAATGGACCCTAATAATATTACTTTGGCGAGTTCAATTAGTGGAGCTATATATCGTCCTCTAAGTACGAATATAATTACTTGACTTAGCTTTCTTACAGGTAGTCGATTCACCTCCATCGACCTTTCTGCGCTTGTGCTCTAAGACCTCCACTGACTCTACCATCGCAACCATTTGGTCCTCGTCGCACTCTGAATTGAAACCTGAGGTCTTATAAACCGCATGCTTGGCCTCCACCATTTTTAAATCTGCCGCCAGCTCGGCAATGTCGCCGCCTAGTGCGAATACTTCTGTCGCGTTCTCTCCAAACGTTTCTTCGTCGCGGTGCAACACACGAATGTTGCAGCGGAAGTCTTGCGAAAAATCCTCGATAGACACGATGGTCTCGTGACAAATACCTTTGCCCGGTAGATCGAAAAGCTTTTTATCCAAATTAACCGCCAAACTCGTCTCTGCATCCTCGCCTTCTTCGTAAATAGTGTTGGCACCAATCGAAATGGTGGGTTCATTCACGCCTAACTTTTTTTTCAATACGAAATCAACCAAGTCACGCAGCAGCATGCGTTTCGTGTCCACGGCCAGCTCAACTGTGTGTTTAGAGCACACGTAGCATTGCGGATTGGGCTTTTCCAAACTACTGGGCTGAAGAAGCTCACCACGAGCATTCCACGAGCGGTTACAGTGCGTGTACTTGCATGATTCTCCGAGAGGCTTCGCCGCCTGTAAGACACGAAGCGCCTCTAGCACCTGAAAGCCGGCAACAATGGCGTTTGTGGTAGCGATTGCAGGAATGATGTTGCCTGCAATACCCTTGCAGCTGTACAGTGATTCCATCGCAATTGAGAATACGGACGCACGTAAGTTTGCAGCTGCAGTAACGAACTCCATCGCAATAGTATCGTCCTTGTCAAATTCATAGCTACCTAAATTTGAGCGAGACTGCTCGTTGTGAAGGATACGGACAATGCACGAACCAAAGCGAGCCACACACTCTGCAACGCTCCACACATTGCGGTCATTCCAGACTATCTTATCGTCGACCGCTGTGCTATCGAGCTTAATCGCCTGTACGATATTTGGGCCGACAATTTCCTCTAGCACCAGCGGCTTCGGAGATTTAGCTGTTGTCTTATACACATTCATTTCGAGCCTTTTCTTAATTTCAAAATCAAAGAGCCCGCGAAATACTCCGCATGCATACTCCTCCAATTTTGTCATGTCATCAAATATCATGTCTGGTGCACGAGTACAAAGATCCATAAAAGCCGATTTCTCCTCGTTTGTCGGGTCCTCCCATAACATGGAGTCCTCCATCTTGCCAAAGAGAAGCTTATAGCACTCTTTCGCCCACACAATGCAGTGCACCATTTTTTCGGGGGTACTGCGAATAGTACATATCGGATATTGCTTCTGTGTAACCTTAGGTGTGCACTCGTAGCACTCCGTCTCACCTTTTTTGATAACGGAAACCTGGCCCAGGTACCCCGTTGTCCCACTCTCGATGAGCGGCGTATTGGTTGCCAAGCATAGACGATTCACGTGTTTACGTGCATCGACATTGTCGAGTGCATTGAGCACAAGAGCAAACTGTTCAAAATACTTCAGGCCGAACTTGCTGTTCTTGACATTTCCGTGGTGCGCCATGATCTTGGCACGCGAATTGAAGCTTTCTGCGATCTCCTTTGCCACTAGCGCCTTCGATTTTCCCACATGGCGCGAGCGAAACAGAAACTGACGATTTAGGTTTGACACGTCGATCGTGTCCAGATCAATTAGCTCGATATCCTCGAAGCCGCTAAGAACCAAGTTTTTGATCAGTTCACAACCGATGCCACCAGCACCCACTACCAGGATCTTTGCACCTTGCACCATCGAGCGCAAATCTCTTCCCTGTCAAAAAAATAAAAATTGTCAGGCACACTCGTTGTCGGTGTTCTAGTGGCTACGTACGAGCACACACGCCAACTCTTCTGTCATCGTCTTAAAAATTAGTATTTACTCTGCAGTCAGATCTATACTAGATCAGTTTCAGTGTGTACCACACCTACGACTGAGCTTCTCCCTACTTGTAGTTTTACTAATATTGGGAGTACCTCCTTCCTATTCCGCACATTTGCGCCCGTCCACGTCTGAACAGCAACGTATTTCCTGCCGGAAAAGACCGTCGCCTTTCGCTTTTACTTTATCACAAGATTTGGACTGACAACGACTCACACGAGGCTCAAACCGGTAATCTCCGTTGACAATGGAGCAGCAGGACGCGTTAGTAGACGTGATCCGCGCGATTATTGGGCCTTGTGAGGTGTCACGTGAACGCATTTTATCGCTTCTTAAGAAGGCGGAAAACGATCCAAACAAGGCCGTGGACCTTTTCTTTCAGTCAGAGACGTCAGAAAGCGCCTGCTTTACGACCAATGACGTGGAAGGCTCAGACGACGAAGACGCGGGTGATATGGCTTGGGCTGACATGTCCGCCAAAACGCCGAATTCACAGGAACTGGAAGCGAAGGCTTCAAGTCTAAATGCCGAGTGGACGCATCAGGCTGAGGAGCTTGCCGGTTTATTGGGTGGAGAAGTTAAGCGTGACGTTATTTTGAGTCTTCTCAGTCGCACTGCTAATGATCTGAACAAGGCAGTAGAAATCTACTTTTCGGAAAATGAACATACAGATTTTGATGAAGGAAGCGACGATGAGGACGATGTTTCTGCCGTGGTTGAGACGCCGCAGCTGCCGACAGTCTCGAGTCGCGAAACCGGGGGAGATGTTCCGCCATCGCCTACCAGCTCTGCCAAGGCAGTATTGCCGCAAATGGGAGATGATGAAATCGCTCCAACGACATCGCAGTCAAAAAATGGGCTGCCTCAGAATTCATCGTTATTCATGTCAGATAAAGCGCTACACCCACTATCATCACCAGTTGGTAAGTGTATGCCGATAGTCGACGGCGTGAAGGTTGCTCCTCCAGTCAGTAATGCACAGGATGAAGAAGCATTGTATGGACCCGATACGTATGAAGTGATTATGACGACTGGCAACTTTCGGTGGCAAATCGGCAGTATTTTTGGGCGTGCGGTGGTGCAGCAAGTTCAGCCAGGTGGCCCTGCAGCACTTGCTGGTATTCAAAAGTCCGACGTATTGCTTTCATTTCGTGAAACAATACTTAACGAGGAAAATTGTGCTGCAGTCGTTCAGCAACTGTCAAATGAGGTGGGTTGTGTCGTTGCTTTATATACTGACACCTTATTTGATAACGATATTTTTGCCGTATTTTTTTTCTTAAGTGTGTTCTTGTTCCGTCGGCCCTTCGTTTTCGCCGTGCGTCTGAAATAACTGCTACCGCGAAAAATTTGCCAGCACGAGACAGTGATGGCGATGTAGTTATGGCGTTGGCGGATGCCGAAATTAGTGTTCTGAATGAGTCAGTTGATCCCAAGTACGGTCTTCAAGTTCTTTGCCAAGCTGTGGATTCCATAAAAGAGGCTGTGGCTGGTCCAGCAGCAGTGGAGTTGAACGTTTTGGTTGATCTGCTGTTCAATTCTGATTTAAGTATGGATCGCGCGGTGAATACCTTCCTTAATGAGGACCGCATTGTGAGTGACTTCCGTGGAGTCATCGGATATGATTGGAATCCAGAACAGCCTGTTTCTACGGTAATGGGCGGTAAGATGCCCTATTCTGCGTCCATTCCTACTGGACCGCTCGGTCTCACGGTCGAAAACATTCTAGAGCGAACTGTAGTCGTGGACATCAAATCAGGAGGCGCAGCTGAGCGTGCGAATGTTAAGCGCTTAAGCTGGCTTGTTGGTCTAAACGGCCAGCGCGTTACATATCTTACACATAGGGAGACTTTGCGCCTCATTGAGACCGCTTCGCGTCCCTTACAGCTGCAACTCATCATTGTCCCGCCCGACAAGTATAAGGCACTTCGCAGACAGCTTTCTATGAATATTCGTCAACAGAAGACTGAACGTCCGATTCCGGAGCAGGACCGAATGTCGTTTCGTGTCTTTCAGATGAAGATGCATCAAGGCGTGCTGGTATTCCCAAAGATTGTGACTAAGGCCTTATTCCAATACCTCAGCTCTGAGGAGTATCACCCTCCAACCATGGACCCTCAGTATGCAAATCCTTTGGAAAGGTTACTTCCAGCAAACGAAGCGTGGGACATTGCTTTGCTTCACGATATTGAGATTTTGGAGGAGGAACGTGTCGGTGAAATGTGCGCCGAACGCCGGTTTTTGCTGAATTTGTTTGCCTCGATTCACGATTACGATGATAAAGGAGAAAGCACAGTTATTCGGACCATCCAATTTCTGGGATGGCTTGCAGTTCGCACTGCAAAGATGCAGCAGTTTCTGAATGCAAAGAAACCTCTCAATAATGAAGGGGCTAGCAAACACCATCGTTATGAATTGTTGCTTGCCGTGGTGCTTCACGTGCTAGAAAGCTTATCAATCATTGAGAATCACGCAACTTGGGACGTAATGGTGAACGCTTTGAAGATGCTTATTTCTTCATTGACGGATATTGACATAGACAAGTTATTTGTGCCAATGTCTGCACGGCTCAGCATAAGCTCTAGCCCCACAGCAAGAATCGTTCCCGTGGCTCTTCTATCCATGATTTATCCACACGTTCGTGGCGATGTACGAGTTCAGCTGCGTGGTATGCTTGACCGCATGTGCAACGATGACAATCCTTTAGTACGTCGGGCTGTAATCTCTGTCATAGGCGATTTAGCTGCAGCGGGCGGTCCGTCTGTGGCTTCCTGGACCGTTCAGCTGCTTGAGAAGTCGACGGCGGATAGCCATGACATTGTTCGGATTTTTGCTGTCAAAGGCTGTATCACGCTAGCTACAACTTTGCGCCGTCTTATCTGCGAAGATCAGCAGATGTCGCCGGTGGAGGCTGAGCGTGCTTTGCGCCTGCTTTATTGCCAGATGGTGCCTCTGGTGAACACGTATACATCGGATTCCTCATGGCAAGTGCGGTTAGAGTCTGCACGAACCGTACCTGCATTCTGTCGAGCATTTGGTGTGAATTACACAGACATTTTTGTGGATCATTTTGTGTCAATGGTTAGTGATCCAACTGTGGAAGTTCGTCGTGCATGCGCTGAGAATTCCTTTTTTCTTGGTAAAGCGCTGCGAGATAATGCAGTGGAGCGAGCGCATCCTTTTAAATCGAGCGCATCAGCTACGTCAGAAGTAATCCAGTCCAATGGGGTCTTGTTCAGCGAAACGTCTGAGTCTTTAGTTGTTGCACAAAATAAATTTGTACGTAGCGTATTACCGGCGACATATACGCTTTCAACTGATGTTTCCGTGGCTGTAAGACTGTCTCTGGCTCAGTCTGTTGGCCGCTCACTACAATTTATCAGCAGTGCATACTACGATGAGCTGGTGCCGATTTTTACTCAATTTTTAGATGAAAGCCAACATGCAACTGTGCGCGCATCACTTTTGGAAGAAATGGCGCGTTACTGCGACAGTTCGTCGGACGCTGTAATAGCCATGATTTTTCCAGCAATTGAGGCACTGCGTACCTCAAATCAATGGCGTGTACGAGTAAAGTATGTTCACTGCGTGGCTGCCTGGGCTGAGCGTGAAGATGGTGCCAAGTTACCCGGTGAATTTGCGGATGCATGTCTAGATCTTTTGAGTGACGCGGTCAATGAAGTTCGTGTAGTGGTGTGTGAAAAGCTTCCCTCATTTGGAAAATCGTTAGGTAGTGAGTGGGTGGCCGAAAAGTGCATACCTCGTGTATCTGTGTGCCTTCAGTCTACATTTCACGGGAGGCTAACAGGATTGTTGGCTGTTGAGGTTCTTGCTCCCGATTTGCTCAAGATGGATAAACTGAGAGGTATTATTGAGATGGTTCTAGAGCAGTGTTCGTCAGTGACAGCGAATTTGCGTTTCCGCGCTCTGCGTACTCTTGGGCTTCTCGTGCCGATGCTGAACGACCCTGTAATTACTGAAAATACTCTAAAGATTGTTCGTCCTCTAGCTTCCGTGGAAACTGAAGGTGATCCGGATGTTCGCGAAGCTGCTGAAGCAACGCAGACGCTGCTTGAAAGTGTGCTAAACTAGATTCTTCGGTGTAAAGCACCGTTACTATTGTAGATGCTGTCTGGTAATGCATAAAGTACTGTCTTAAACATTTCTCTATTGCTTGCTTCGCACATGTACAAGTGTGAGCATTGTAATAAAAGAAACACTATTCGTGTCCAACATAACGTTCGTTTACGCCAGTAGGTCGCATTTTCCGCTTAAAAAAGGAACTTTTAATTAGTCACCCTGTTGATTTCGCCATGACTAATGCTAGACGCACATGGCGAGTCTATCACAATTCAAAGTATAAGTGGGCATGTCGTATCAACGACAATGAAAGATGTTTTAACAATTATCTTTGCGCGTAACCAATAGAGTGATACGACATCGAGATTATGTATTTACTATACTTAATGGAAAACATTCACAATTTGACCTAGGGGCAAAAATATGTCGTCTACTTCGCAAAAATTGACAAAACATATAAACAACTTTACCTTCAAGCAAGTATGATATTCGAAGAGGAAAGTTTTTTAATTTGACGCAAAAGCGTTTTTATTATTTAAATTAGGCTGACGATAACTTAAGCATCATTAGAGCGCTTCATGTGTTAGACTAATGTGTTGGTTCGCGCATTGTTATCGTAGGTATGATGTGTGCGCGATTTCTTAAAATAACGAGCTCGAAGCGATTGGTAAGAGTGTTGAGCGTCTGCGTCCAGCAACAACTCGCTGTCGACTTTAAGCAATGCAATAGCGTTCTGGTCTTCAATTAAGTCATTCTGCCGCTTGAGCTCTTCCAACAATGATACAGTCAGTCCTTGCAATTGCTGGCTGGTACATAAATCGGACGACAAATCAGCTCGATGTTTATGACTGAGAGGAATGGCAAATGCGCTCGAGTGTGATGAAGCCTGGCTTATTGCAGCGACCGCGACCGCAGCACCTGCCGAAGATATAGACGCACTATTGGAGCAAGACGGTAAAGCTGATATAGTAGCAGAGTTGGGAGCTGCAGGCGTAATGGTGACGTTATCATCATTTGCGTCGGCCTCCTCCTCGCTGCTGGACGAGGACGGTCCTTGTGCTGTCCCCTCTTTCATTGTCGACGCTGTCAGTGAATTGATCAAAAGCGTGGGATGATGTATAGAGCTTGCGAACATCTGGAGCCACTTCGAGGAGTAGCGTAATTGCTTCCAACAGCCCTCAAATGTAAACTTAACATTATAGTAGCGGTAAAATGCATCTTTTGCCTCGTCAATCCATTGCTGTTCCATCAGCGAAGCTATCGTAGCGTCACACGATTCCCCGATATCCTTCTTTTCCATCTTACATTGCATGCTATGGATCTCGTTATAGATACCCGCAAATTTCTGTGAATCCTTGTTAATGCGCGTCCAGCGGACTTTTAGCCCATTAAGAGGGCGCTCCACACTTGCTTCCATCTCTTGGTGAAAGAGTTTGCGCACAACATTCCAAAAATTGGATGCCTTTTGATCACCTCCCTGTAGCTGCAGATCACCAGCGGTCAGCCAGACACGGCACAGGGTCTGGTCTTCTGTTGTCGTCCAGTTCGTCTTCTTTCCCATAGTGTTTAGACTATAGAAACTCGCTATATTTCTTACTTTGTAAAGTGAATGTTTTATACGCTTGTAGAAATCTGTAACAATCAAAAATTATCGTTTAATCCAATGAGTTCTCCCTGTGCACTTCGACTTTGCATCGCGCAGCTCCACAGCTCGGATGTGGTGTTCAATGCGCACAAACATACTTATCTTGTGAGCCATGCCCCTCTAAGCCGCGCTCATGTGGTAGGGATCTTGGTAAAGCGAAATGAAATGCAGTTGAAGCTTGGTGTGTGTTAGAATTTTCATTGTCACATCCATCCACAACGTGACTTCTATGGTATTCTAGATGACGGCTCAGGATTGCTGAAGGTGAAGCTTCTGCCAAGTTCAAGTGGGTCTGAAATAGCATTAGGGGCACTGGTCAGCATTGCTGGGCATGCAGATTTTTAGCAACGATTGATGCTCACAGTCACCCTGTGTGCAGATGGAGTGTGTGGGGACAATCGGTGAGCCGTTGCCATTATCCAATTTAACACAAAATCGGCGTTGGATGAATGCAACACAGTGAGTTGTGTGATTGATTGCAGCATCAAAGCTCACATTGACAAAGCTTTAATGCAGTATCCATGAGGTTAAAGATCACAATGTTGAGATGCTGAGGATGCTCGAGGTCATGCATCTGTAGGTATTGTCGACATGTCAAGCCATTTTTGTACTTATTATGGTTCTGAAAAGAAAGGTACCAGTCCGATTACACGATTTTTCGCAATACTATGCCGACTCAATATGAGCTGCTCGCATTTCCGCCGGTTTGTGATAGCAATGAAGGACGAGACCAAGTACCTTGTTCAAAACAAGAAAGTATTGCTTCACAGCAGATTCTCAATGATCATTATGTCAGGGAGTCCGGTTATGCTACGACTGTGACCACGTCTCGGCAGCAGAAAATTGTCGATGCCGCTACTTCGGACGCTGCTGATATATCTCCTGCAGACTTTCTCTTTATACTTCCAGAGAGGGACCATCAGCTAATCGAGCAAGGAGTCAAGTCGTTAGAGATTCGGTACGTGCGGTTGAGTGCTTCAGAACTCAAGTCCTCACGAGGCTCCTTCACCTTAGACTTAACGACGTTCCGTACTCGCTCATACACGTAAATGACCGGATCACAATCAACGGCAAAACCTCTACAACCGTAGCAGCAATTCGCAGATACGCTACATTGCAATCCGTTTTGGAAGCGGAAGATGTGAAAGCACTGCTACCGCAAATTTTCGAGGAAGCTGGGACTGTTGATACAGCAGCCGCGGCAGAGCGTCAGTATCGCCAGTTTTTTAGCGCCGACGAAGAAGCGAATTGTGGCTTAACATTATTTCAATTTGCCAAAAGCTCATCCAAGTCAAAAACTTCGGAGGATTGGAGCGGTAGGTTGTGCGATAATTCTAGCCATACATGGGGATCTGAAGGATTTATTACGCTTTGGTAGAATTCTTATTGCGGCACTTAGAGACGAAAGGTGCTACTGGGTGCTCATTAGCAGACCTTCGCTTTGCTGTTCCATCACTCACGATCGACCAAATCATGGAAGTCTTGATGAATGTAAGTTATTTCTACAAAGCTGCCAAAATCCTTGCTGATTGTCCTGTTGCTTCTTAGCTGCAGTTCGATGCACTTGTCGTATGCAAATCAGGCAATTATCGTGTAGTGTAATTAGAATCTTTTGCTGCGAGCAATCGAATAATAGTTTTGCTGAACACCATTAAAAAATTACTGTTTATAATGGAGACTGATTTGAGATCCACGGATGTTTTGCTGCATCCTCTAGGCTCATTCGGTCGCATGGCTTACGCTTCAGCAGTCCAGCAATAAAGTTTTTGGCATCATTAGATATTGACGGAGTTGGCGGAAAGTGGTAGTCAGCGACCTCGATACGCTTATACATCTCCATTTGATTTCTGCAGTAAAATGGCGTTGTGCCAATCAGAAGCTCATACGTTAGCACACCAAGGCTCCATGCATCGGTTCGATAATCATACGATTCTCCCATCACTATTTCGGGACTCAGATAGTCTGGAGTCCCGCAGAATGTCTTACGGAGGTTGTAAGGCTTTGGCGCATGTACCGACCATCCGAAATCAGCAAGTTTGACGGACTTGTTATATCCTAATAGGAGGTTCTCAGGCTGCAATCAATGCACAGAGTTAGTCAGGCATATCCATACGCTGCCGTAATGACGTAGGTAACCTTTATGTCCCGATGTATTACGTTGCAGCTGTGACAGTATTGTAAGGCTTCTACAACTTGAGCCACATAATGCGCAGCCACATCGCCTGGAAAGTACGATTCTTTGGCTAACTCCTTGTAGAGTTCGCCATAGGGTGCGTATTCCAGCACCAGATATACATATGAGTCGTCATAGAAGTAGCCGTACAGGCGCAGGATGTTCGGGTGACGGAGCCGCACTTGAATTTCGATCTCGCGCTTCAAGTTGTTTGCTCCGCCATCTCGCGTCAGTGGCGATTTGAAAAGAACCTTTGCACAAATATCAAGGATTAACGATCGCTCTAAACAATATACTCATGAAAATAATTTACCGACCTTAAGAGCAACAGTAATGTTCGAGCATTTCTCTCTAGCAAGATACACATTCCCAAACTTGCCTTGACCCAAATTTTTCGTCACAATAAAGTCGTGTAATTTCCACTTTGAACTCCTCGCTAACCGCTCGCTGATAGATTGGCCTACACGTGTATCGTCTAGGGAAGAACGGCTAGAAGTGCTTTTACGACACGTCAATTCAATGCTGCTTCGTTTAGATACCAAATTCATCATATCATATTCGGGTATCGAATGATTGCGCTTTATCCGCGGGCTCATCTCGTCATCATTCAAAGGCCGCTGAATTTTTTCTTCTGTTTGCGGATCGTAGTTTGAAATGAAATCGTGCTTCTTGTGACTCTGTTGCCTCTTGGCATGGCTGAAAGCAATGTCGGAAACGTGTAACGCTGAATTCATACTGCCTTGTGAAATAGTCTCTCTTGAATGGACAGGTGTATCTTCCAAAGATTCCAAAGGTTCTGCAAAGGGCAGAGCCTCGGATCCAGCACTTTCATCGCTCTTTCTCCGTTGGGCTAAAACACTTACGCGCCGCGGACCCAGCAAAACTTCAGGTGTCGTACTATCTGTATCCCCATCCAGGCCACCATCATCGTTTTCCGAATTAAGAAGACGCATGGGTGTCAAGATGCGCTGCGCTCCACCCCACGACGCATTGAGGCTCGGAGAAATATAGCTTCGTCTCCTGCGTCTCTTCCTACTCGTAAGCACGTCGCCAAAAATTAAGCTTTGGTCAGCTTTTTCCTTGTTTGTTTCTGTTCCTTTTTCGCTGCGGGCTTTGAATGGTGTTGTGTACAGCACCTTTTGGTCCTTCTCTAGCTCGAGAGACCTCACTGACGCTAAATCAGACGACATTTGGCCAACTGCAACCGAACTCAGCTGCAGAAGTGTTTTTTTTCGCTTTGATAATACGAATGAGCGCAAAGGCGATCCTTGAGATGATCTATAAAGGATTATTAACACTTTAATCATCTCTTGTCGTACTTGAAAATTGCGAGAATACTTTACCGGTGTGCAGAATGAGCCATTTTTGTAGTCTCCTGCACCTGCTGCTGCTTCTGGCGCCGCTTCTCCACCCGCCACTGCTCTAAAGCAAGCCATCGACTTCCTGCCATTGTCCTGTGATGCGGTTGCCGCGCTTTTGCATATGGCAAATTTTTGTATGGATTTTAATTTAAGAAATTGCTTGATCGTTTGATTTTTTTCTTCCAATTTAAAGTAGTTTGTCAAGCCAATAAAAAGGATGCGGACAAAACCGTTTCTTCCTCGCAGACATTCTTAAGCCATATCGGAATCCAGCCCAGATGGGCTACACTGATGCAGGGTGTATTGTCAATGACAACGTAACATCTTCAGTGAACCCTGTTGATAAGGCACAGTTTGTATGCTTTGAAAAAGTATATTATTTTGAGGCATTTATTCTTCAAATTCTCCACATTCGGCAAATATGCTCAACTTAATAAAGAGTGGAGTGAGAGGGGATCGTATGTCAGACTACCCAACTGATAGCCCTAGTATTCTTCTCTTCTATAATTTCGATGACTTGGAAAAAGCCTGGTTTTGTTTGTCAGGTTTGCGCAGAACTCGACAAGGCCCCGCAAAACACATTAATTCGGGGTATAAAATAGAGCTGTACACCAACTGAGCGGGGCTGAGTAGCTTTGCGCTTGAGGAAGCGTAATTAGTCACCGACCTTTCGTTCTTTACAAGAACCAATACGAGTGTAGCGGATCGCAATCCGCCGCCTCCAAGAATAGTTAGTACCTTAACTAAGGCTAATAGATAGTGATGGCAATAGCATTAGCAATGCTAGGTAAATGCTAATGCTAGGCTAGGCTAAGGCTAATACTAGGACCCAGACCTCTAGCATAGCATAGCCTAGTGTAGCCCGCTCATGCCAAATGCTATAGCATGCTAATTGCATGCTAATTGCCTTTTACAGGGGTCAGGGCCAGGGGCCTTGCACATTATTCGGAAAAAGTTTTCTCTTCACCCTGGACTTTACTTTGTACGATGAACTCACCCGACACAG